GGCCAGCCTGATCTACATAGCAAGTTCAAGGCCAAGGATGATGCATAGTGAGACCTTGTCTCAAAACACCAAAAAATTTTAAAGCTTTTTTCAGAAAGGTTTGATTGAGCATGGTGAAACAGACTTGAAATCCTAGCATTCAGTAGGCTAAGAAATAACAGCGGCAAGTCTGAGGCCACACTGGCTACATAGCAAGAGCCCATCTGAAAACAATAAAAATAAAAGGCTTGTAGCAGACTGAGGGTGTTCCTGTCTTGCAGCTTTTCCTTCCAGTTGTGAAAGAAGAGGCTCCTAACGTGGCGGAGTTGCAGGAGAGGCCACAGACTGTGTAAAATCCCAGTTGCTAAGGGTGCGAAAGAGAGCTGGCTGCTGAGATTTTTGACATGGGAGCATACCACTGAAGTTGATGACAAGCATTTTAGAGTGGCAATAGCCTGTCTTCTGGAATGATTTTCTCTGGTGGTCCTTAGCTGCTCAAACACAAATGCAGGCAAATGCTGGCTTCATCTAACTATTAACTAGGGAGGTAGGGTGGAAAGGATGGAGGGAGGTGGTAGAGTTGAAGAGATTCAGGAAAGAATTTCAGTGGAGAGTCCCTTTTCTGTCCCTAAGACAGAGAAGGGGAGACTAAAGAGGAGAAGGGTCACAGTTCCCCAGCCAGCTTGTCCAACAGCTGCAGTGAGCCAACCTAGCAACGAACCCTAAGGAAAAGAGATCATATCAGAGAAGGGTGTTTGATTCGTTATTTCATAGATGCTTCAGTTTCTGGTGATGATAAGGCTCTGGGCACAGCCCTGGGACTATCTCACTTGAGTGGAACAGAGGAAGAGTGTTAGAGGTGGAAGGGCGAAGGATCTGAGCGTGCTGGACAGAGCAGCACACAGTGATGTCATCACAGCCATAACGCCACCCTCTGTGGTGACTGAGTTCCTCAGGCCATCACATTTTCTCTCATTGTCCTCCAACTTCTTTTCTCCCCCAGGAATCCTCCTCTTTTCCACTATCTCACTCTGTCTTTATCCGCATTCCTTCCTGGCCACACCTTTTTTCCTCCCCTCATTTCTCCAGTTTCTCTTTTCATCCTGATGTAATTTCTGCTTCTCTGGGTAAACCCGGGGAGCCATGCTGTATGGTGTGACCAGGAGGGTTGAAATCCCACACAGCTATTTTATTGCCTAATTTTGCTGTGCCTCAATTGTAAAATTGGGATACGATCAATAACACCTAAGCCTCCTAAGGTTTCTGGAAGAATTAGAGGAATATCAAACGTTTGGAACAGTGTCTGGACCCAGAACACTCTTGATAAGACAGTGGCTCTTCTTAGTGGAACCCCTCACCTCCTTCTCTTGCCTTTCACTTCCTCACCTCAACCATCCCTCCATAGGTCCTTCATACATCTTCCAAGACATGAACATGACTTGGTCCTGTCTGAAGTCTGGTAGAAAAAGAGTCACACAAGTATCAAGACGGAGCTGGGAGTGAGGGAGAGAGGCTCAGTGGTCAAGAACACAGGCCCCTCTTTCAGAGGCTCTGGGCTCAGTTCTCAGCACTCACATGATGGCTCGCAACCACCTGTAAGCCCAGTTCCAGGAGATCTGATGCCAGGCTCACACCTGCATACATACACTCTGTACACATATACACATGTGGCATACACATGCACATGCAGGCAAAACACTATACATGTCAAATGAATCTATATCTATAATATCTAATGATATTATATATAATATATATGAATATATATCTATAATATCTAAGATATATCTATAATATCTAACCGGCTACTTATTTATTCTTAATTTTTATTTTCATAGCCGGGTGGTAGTGGTGCACAGCTTTAATCCTAGCACTTAGGAGGCAGAGGCAAGTGGCTCTCTGAGTTCGAGGCCAGCCTGGCCTACATAGTGAGTTCCAGAACAGCCAAGGGTACACAAAGAAGCCCTGCCTCAAAAAAACCATTAAACAAACAAACAAACAAACAAACAAATAATATAGAATTAAGCATAGTAATATATTTTGGTGGATTTCAGTGAAAAGGAGGATCCTGAGTTCAAGTGAAACCTTATCTCAAAAAAAAAAAGGGTAATATAATAAGTTCTACTAAAAAGATGTCAAAGAGAGATGAAGAGATGGCTCAGCGGTTAAGAGCACCTGTGGTTCTCGCAGAGAACTGTGTTCAGTTCCCAGCACCCACATGATGACTGACAACCATCAACAACAGATCCAGGCCCAGGGTATCTCTGACCTCCCTAGGCACTGGGCATGCCTGTGGAGTACGTGTGTACACATAAAACACATCTTTTAAAAAGCTGTGTTTAAAGATGTGAAAGAATTGCTAGTGGGAAGCAAGATACACAAATGAATGTTCTCTTCTGTATAGTTAAGGACGGACAGATAAGTTGGATCCAGTGCAGAGCGGGGGCAAAATGTTTCTTCCAGGCATTTCCTGCATCTGCACAGGGCTGACAGCAGGTCTTGAAGAAAGAGGCTTTAGTTAGCTGTCACTTGCTATGGTAGCCTATGTCAGACCTGGAAGATGTCATGTGATCTGCTTATGAACATGCAGTGGAGGAGAAACAAAGCATCCCTGGGTTTCTTCAGCTGATGTGGGTCAAGTTCCACCATACACCCCCTACCCCCACTCCGTGAAGGTTAGGGGCCCCCCCTACTCCAGCAGGGTCACGCTTCCCTCGACATGGCCACCAGGGGGCAGCAAAGAACAAGCGTAGGCGCAAAGAAGGTCTTGGACCCTGGAGAGCCAGGTCAACTGAATTCACTTACTCTTACTTACTCTTGGGAGGACACTTGGTTTTGCTTTGCTTTTTCAGGGAAAATGATCTTCAGGCACCTGGAGAAAGCTATATTTGTCTTAGAGAAAGAACAGGAGTCCCCTTCAAACTTGTCTACCTGTTAATAAATTAAAAAATTTTAAATTCTGTAGCTTCAGTGTGTGTGTGTGTGTGTGTGTGTGTGTGTGTGTGCGTGTGTGTGTGCGTGTAATTTTTTTTCCTCCTGGTGAATATGAAAGCAGAATCTTGTCCTAATTTGTGTAATATATTTGTATAATATATATTCTTTTCTTGACTTAGTAGTTATCATGACATGAGCTGGGCACTGCTCTTTTTCCTTTCCAAAAATTTGCTTTTATTATTTTTATTGATGTATCTGTTGGGGGGGGGAAGGGCATGCACACATGAACGCCAGTGGAGGCCCAAGACTTTGGATCCCCCTGGAGCTGGAGTTACAGATAGTTGTGAGCCGCCTGAACCTGACATGGGTGTTGGGAACCGAATTGAGTCCTCTGGAAGAACAGCAAGGGCTCAGAACTACTGAGCTCTCTCTCTCCCCGTGCCCTGGGCACTGTTCCTGCTTTACAGATAATCACTTGCTCCTCACTGCTGCAATGCTTCAAGTATAATCTTCCTTAAAATGGGAAGGCTATGGCGCTTGGTCAAAATGACACAAATAAAAAGTGACAGAGTGTCTTTGGCCCCAGAGTGGAGTACTCCCCTTGCCTCAGTTGTCATATGTAAAAATATGTCTGTTTTCAAGAGAAGTCAGCAGTTCCCTTTAACCTCTTAACCTGTAGTCCTGACTGTGGTGGTGGGCACACCTTTGATCCTAGTGCTCCAGTGCTCAGGAGGGAGAGGCAGGCGGATCTCTGTGAGTTCAAGACCAGCCTGGTCTACAAGGCAAGTGCCAGGATAGCCAGAGCTGCACAGAGAAACCCTGTCTGAAAAATAAACAAACAAGAATAAATGGTAGTCCTTCCCCGTCATTAATTAGGTATCCTGTGTTAACATAGGTGACAAGCACAGCAGACATGATGGTGCGTGGCTGTAGTCTCAGCACTTGGGAAGGGAAGGCAAGAGGGTCACAAGTTCAAGGCCTGAGCTACAGAATGAGATAAAAGACCTTAAAATAATCTAGCTAGGTAGTCATCCCCACACTGAAGACCGGACAGGAAGTGGGCTTCTACTGGGGGTCTGAGAGAGCAGGAAGAGCCTGAGGCAGTAAGTACTCAGAGGAAAGCAAGTCTTGTCAGAAGCTGGGGGGGGGGACCTCCTGTGAGAGTCCCCTTCCACCTCTGAGGGGTGTGGAATTTGGGCTAGAGATGTTAAGAAGGGGTTCCCACAGAAACTACAGGAAAGGCGGGAGTTAGCCAGGCAGGGGAGGAAGGGTGTCCAAACAGGGGAAACAGCTCAGAAAAGCACAGTAGGAGCGGAGAAAACAAAGGCTCTCCAGTGCTCCCAAAGAGTGTCTTTGACCTTCTGTTATGCCCATCTTTAGAGTTTATCTTCCCTCTCCTGTGAGCCAGCAAGCAGATCCTGAAAAGCCTCACAGTCCTATCCCACCACCTCCCAAAGGAGGTATCAGTCATCCCCCCTGCCCCCACCGCATTCACTGTGCACCTGCTGGCAGTACTGCCCAGTGGGCAGAACGTTCCCAAACGTCTCACAGCTTAGTTAGAGGCTGGCCCAGTGAGATTCGGGCCCTGTTGGCTCACCTCCAAGGAGACAGGTGGGCATTCCTGGACAACAGCAAAACCAAACAAAAACAAAACCCACTGCCCCCACACATTCTTCACCTATCATGCTGCCACCGTTTTTGTAGTTGTTCAGGGGGAGTTTCTAAGGCTTCCTACTGAGACAGATGGGCCAGGAATGTGGGGTAGCGCCTCTCTGGAAAAAACTGGAGACTCAGAATCACACTCCTCCTCCTGTCCCCAGCACTCCATCTCTGGTACCCTAGAGGAGGTGGCTTCAGCCCTTGTGGGTCATATCTGACCTCCTAGTAGGAAACTGCAGATTTAAGTCAACAACTATCAAATCTTCTAACAACAAGCCAGAGTGGTGCTGGGGGTTGTGGAAAGAGACTACAGAGGGAAAGGGCAGAAATAACGAAGCTGGCCACGGTGGACGGGACCTGGCCACAGAGAACGAGACCTGGCCACAGCGGACGGGACCCAGGGAAGGCTTCTTGGAGGCGGAGAGAAGATGCGCCTTCTACTTCTCCTTGGGGTGGCCGTGAGCAGATGTCTGCATGAGGAAACCCAGAAGTCTGTGCACCTTCTCAGGCCTTCTTTCTCCCAAATGCCTGCACACTTCCGATCCTCAGTCCTTCCTCTCTCTGGCTCCCGTGAGCCTCAACCCATCAGGATCCAAACCTACTATATAAGAGATCCCGCATCCAGTAAAACTTGGGACCCTGAGGGGGATGACATGAGAGGGGAATCTCGAGCCCTGGCTGCGGTGAGGGAGGCTGCTGGAAGAATTCAAGGTATCCTAGCAGGTAAGTGAGGAGACAGGAACTAGCAGGCTGAGGGGAGGAGGTGGAAGAGGAAGTGTCCACCGAAGGGAAGGAACTGAACTTGGAGATGAGGAAACTGTCCTCTTCAGTCCTCCCAGTCCAAGGACCTCTGCTTCTGAGTCGAGACCCTACACAGTACTGCCGAGCCGTCTGGGGAGACCCGGACAGCCCCAGCTACCGCAGGTGAGTCTGTTAATGTCTCCTTCAGAGACATCTGGAAGGGTCTCTGGCTCTGTTAATGTCTTCTTCATAGACATCTGGAAGGGTCTCTGGCTCACTTCTATACGGTTTTGACAGGTGCAGCCTCTTGAACCCAGGGTACAAAGGAGAGAGTTGCCTTGGGGCAAAGGTGAGAGCAGCTCGCCAGCCACAGGGATGGATCTGAAGGGTTCTAACCTGCTCAGGCTCCCCTAACCCCTCAGCACGTAAAAGGAACTGATAACATATGTGTGGAATTGTCCCGTCTTGTTCTTCATACTGACGCACAGTCTATAGTCCCTTTCCGCCCAGGCTCCCCAGAATGCATGGAAGCGGGGACCTGGGTAGCTAGAAGCACAACTCTGCTTTGTTTTGTTTTCTTTTTAAACTTGGGTTTGGACCCAGGCCTTGCACGTGCTGTGAGGTGCTCTGAGTAACACATGCCCAGCTATAAAACTAATGCTAACTGGCTGCCCGGATGGTACTGAGACAGTCTTAAGACCTCTCCTTCCTTCCAGCATCCAGCTTCCATCCATGCTAAGCTTATGCCCATTCCCTGGCAGATGCCTGATGCCCACCTGCGTGGTTATTCCTTGTGGCCAGAGCATGGTGTGCCCCAACTAATCCAACCAGATGGCCCTGGCGTCCAGAACACTGATTTTCTCCTGTATGTGCGGGTTGCCCACACTTCCAAGTGTCACAAAGAGGTGAGCTTCAAAGCCAATCCCTTTGCCTGCTCTGTCACTCTTGACCTTTGTCTTTTGAGACAGGGTTTCTCTGGGTAGCCCTGGCTATCATGGACTCACTTTGTAGACCAACCAGGCTGGCCTTGAACTCACAGAAATCTGCCTGCCTCTACCTCCCCTGAGTGCTGGGATTACAAGTGTGCACCACCATGCCAGGCTGTGGCTCTTAATCTTAGCGTTTGTTAAGGAGGGGTAGGTATGGAGACAGAAGAGGTTTAGTAAGTTGTGCCTCTTGGGGGGGGGCAATTTGGAGTGTTCTGATGAAGCTTGAATCCTATAGGGGCTAAGAACCTTCCATGCTGCCCATGGATGCCACCCCAGCAGAACTCGACAGAGACCCTGCTTCCTCTTTCTCCAGGAAGGTTCCCTCTACCTGTATTAGCTCACTTTCCTCCTTTCTACCTTCTCCTGGCCTGTTGCAGCCCTCTGTCCTAGCCTACGCTGCCTGCTGCCAGCTGGACTCAGAAGACAGGCCCCTCGCTGGTACCATTGTCTACTGTGCCCAACATCTCACTATTCCCAGCCTCAGCCATGGTGACATTGTCATGGTGACTGCTGCATGATAAATGGGGGATGGGGATGGGGGTGGCATTCTCTTGGGAAGTGGAAAAACCTACTGAGGACGGAACAGGAGGGGTCTTGAGCTGTATGAAGAGCTGGTTGTGTGTGGGGGCTCTGAGGTTCTGCTACAGAACCGGGCCCCTCACTAGGCAGCCATTTGTTCCTAGGCTACCCTACATGAACTCCTACACGCCCTGGGATTTTCTGGACGCCTCTTCAAGATGTGGCGGGACTGCCCCTCAGGGCTCAGTGGTAAACGGAAGGGATAAAGGGGTGGCCGTCCCAGAGTGCCAACCAGAGGGAGTCCCCGAACTTGCAAGCCTATTTCACCCTTCCCAAGTTTTCCTCTCCTCGCGTTGCCGGCTTCCCTTTTTGAAGCCAGCTAGGGAGAATTGTTCCGCAAGGAAACAAGTGACGAGGCGAGATGAATGGGGACAGCTGCTTCTCAGCACTCCAGCCGTCAGCCACAGCCTGGCCAAACACTTGGGCGTAGCAGGGCCTTTGCTGGGCGTTCCTTTGGAGGAAGAGGTGAGAAGATCAGCTTGGGCGGGTGGGAGGAGGAGGGAGAGGTCCAGTGGCAACCAGCCATTTGCTGCCTTATCCAGCAGGGTTCTCTGTCATCACACTGGGAGTCCAGGCTGCTTCAGGGCTCTATAATGACGGCTACGTTCGATGGTGCCCACCGAACTCGACTTGACCCGGTGACTCTCGCTGCCTTCGAAGATTCAGGCTGGTATCAGGTCAACTACAGTGCTGCAGAGGAGCTACTGTGGGGCCGGGGTAAGGAATCGGAAACATCTGCACCACACTCAACCCAAATCAGACTGGCGGGTGGTGAGTTTATTTGCTTCTAAGGTAGAATTCAAACTGTGAGCAGAGCTGGTGCTGAGGGATGTCTGGAGTTTCATCTTTTTGTTTTCAAAACGGAGTCTGGCTATGTAGCTCTGCTGTCCTAGAACGGACTGTGTAGACCAGACTGGCCTGAGATTCAAGCGTTCCTCCTAGCTCTGACCCCCAAAGGGCTGGGATCAAAGGCATGTGCCACTATGCCCAGCCTGGGCGTTCATCTTTGAGTCCTTTCTTTTCTTTTTTTTTATTTAGATCTTTAAATTTTTTAATTTACCTTTTTATATGTATTGGTGTTTTGCCTGTATGTATCTGTGCGAGGGTGTCAGATCTTGGAGTCACAGACAGTTGTGAGCTGCCACATAACCACTGAGCCATCTCTCCAGCCCAGAGTGCTTTCTTACTGTATAAGCAGGCGCTGGCCTAGAATTTGGCCTGGCGAGCACGTGCAGGAATGGATCCTCAGACATCTTCTGCACCCACAGGTGCGTGTTGAGAGGGCAGGGAACCATACAACCGTCAGCGAATCAAGTGCCATGCCTCTCTTGTCCCTTCCACACAGTGGGCTGGGCTGTCACTACATGCACCTGGACAAGGGGAGCTGCTCCTCAGACCCAACACTGGAAGGCTGCCGCATGTACAAACCCTTAGCCAATGGGGTGAGGACACCACAGAATAAAGAAGGAACAGGCCGGGTAGGGCTCCAGGGCATTCTGCTATTCCACCATTTCCCCCGCTCTTCAGAGTGAATGCTGGAAGGAGGAAAATGGACTCCTCCTCAGAGCCGAGAACCCCCATGGCGAGATCTACCATAAGCACAGCCGCTGCTTCCTTGCCAACCTTACCTCCCAAACGCTCTCCAAAGACAAGACCAGCCAACCCCCGAGAACTCCGGATCTCCAGGATCCCACAGGCCGCTGCTATTTACACCAATGCACCCACAAGGGAGCTTACGAGGTGCGAGTGGAGGGGTCTCCGTGGACCCCCTGCCTTCCAGGAAAGGCTGTTCAGGTGAGAATTTAAAAGTAGTCAGAGCACACCGACAGAAAAGGTGAGACCCGCTTGACTGGTATTGCTGTCTAGCTTCTCAAGAGTCTCACTCTACAGTTAAGGCTGGCCCAGAACTGAATATATAGCCCAGGCTAACCTCAAACTTGTGACAATCCTCCTGCCTCAGCTTCTTGTAAACTGGGATTACGGATATGAACCACCAAACCTCATGTTCAGCTTGTTTTTGGAAAAAAAAAAAATTATGTTTTTGATTTGTGTAGCTTTGGCTGTCCCGAACTCACTTTGTACACCAGGCTGGCCTCGAACTCGAGCTCCGCCTGCAGCTGCCTCCTGGGTGCTGGGATGCCAGGTGTGCAGCACTATGCCCAGCTGCTTTTTTTAATTAGAATTTCTTATTTTATCTTTGCATTTACTTGGTAGTGTTGGGAATCAACCCTGGGGCGTTGCACTCACTAAGCTGCACCCTCAGCCTCTAGCCAACCTAGCCTTTTCTTTTAACCCCTTTGAAGTACCTACTCAGCCCATGTCTTGGGTGTAGAATATGCCATTTTTCTTGGAAGGCAGCTCTCAGCCAGTAACTGAGGCTGTAGCTTATACCCTGCTACTCTCTGGCAGATACCTGGATACCATGGTCTTCTCTACTGTCCCCAAGGCCGGCTGTGTCTGGGTCGTGAGGGCACCAGCGCTGTCACTTCTCCACCCAGGAGTTTTTCAACCCGAGACCTGCTATTCCAGCTGTCTTTAAGATTAACTGGGACCCCGGGACACTCTCTGGGGAAAGAACAGAGAGAAGAGCTGGCTGAGGTAGTCCTGCACGCTCTGGTGACAAGATGTGGCACTAGCAGGTAAAGGGAAGGTTCCGCCTATCAAGACAACAGGCCACCGACTTTCTTTCACACACTGACACCTACCCTTAACTTTTTAGATGCTCTCCTCCTCTGTTAAGAGATCTCAATGTCTGTTCAGGTGTTATTTCCACAGCCCATACATCACCACAGGCTTGGTGTTCACTGTCGTTATGTGGAAGTCTCCTGGCTGCCGAGGGCCTTCTATCGCTATGCTGTACAGGACGCTGACCCTGACTCTTCAGGAAAAACCCCTCCAAGTGCACCAAGGAGAAGCCATCTTTACCACCGAATACAGCAAGTAAGATTGTGCCCCAAACAGTTAAGCTTTGAATCCCTGCTGTCCAGACCTTTGAAATCGTTTGTCAAGCATGCATTTGTGTGTACATTATTCTGTGTGTACACACGATTATGTATCTCAGTAAACACACGTCCAACATCATTTTGGGTCCATCAAATAGAGGCCCACCCCTAAAACTTAGGAATTTTAGTTGTCTTGGTTTTTTGTTTGGGGGCAAGGGAGGTTTCACTATGTAGCCCTGGCTAGCCTAGCACTTACTTTGTAGACCAGGCTAGTCTCTTCCCCAGGTTTTGTTTGTTTTTGTTTTTTTGAGGCATGGTCTCATTTAGCACCAGGCTGACCTTAAATTTACTATACAGCTGAGGATAATCTTAAACTTCTAATCCTCTTGCTGCAGGAGTTCTGGGGCCATACCTAAGTGTGCCGTCACACCTCTATTCAACAGTATTCAGGGACCTAGCTACCAAAACAGTCTCTTCACATACGCTAGTCCTCACTGCATTAGGTTTTCTTTTGGTACTTGAAGCTGCTGGAGTCTTGGATCTTTGTCTCAGCCCTACATTTTTGGGTTCTACGTTTGCTTTTATACCGGCTTGTTTGCCCTAGTGCTTGATTCAAACAGGTCTCAATCCCATAACCGTGCACACTACTACAGGCCCAACAGTACAGTCCATGTTCCCAGGCTGCTGACTTCCTTGGACCATCAGCCCTCCATGACTGCCCTGCTTCTGGCCACTGGATTCTGTCTACTGTTGTTACTTCTGGTGGGTGCATTGGGAACTTTGGCCTATCAGAAACGAGCTGCACTCCAAGTGGGACCATCTACCACGTAACCACCACGAGAGCTACAAGGCACAGGACATCTGATTAAAATAAGGCGGGTGTGACAGCCCTCAGAATGTGACTTCCAAATACCAGCCAGCAAGATGGCTCAGTGGTAAAGTCATTTGTTTGCTCTTGTGGAAGACCCACACTAAATTCCAAGCACCCACACTGGGTGGCTTTTAACTTTCTGTAATTCTAGTTCCAGGGGATCCAGCACCCTTTTCTGACCTCCATGGGCGCTGGCATGGGCATGGTACACACACATAGGGATAAATAAAAAAAAAGACTACTGGATGGGAAAAATCTACTTATTTTAACTCCTGCTGTACTTTCTTCAGAAGGCCTCTTTGCTGGAATAAACAACTTTACAATAGCCTTGCCATGTACAAAATGTGGTCTTTATTTTGATACTCTCCCCACAAGACCAAGTTTAACTTGCGAAGTGCAGCTGATTTTTAGACTGCTGTAGACCAACAGAACAGGAACATCTGCCACCAGCCCCAAGGATATCACACATGCTTTAGAAAGGTGGCTCCTATTTGATACTTTTACTAATTTCCATTGCTCTTGAGAGTCAGACAATGTGATGGATTAAGTAATTATTTCCTTCTCTTGAATTTTCTTAATTTTATTAAATCACTTATTTTATCAAATCATCCAACAGTTGGGAAGTCACATAATTATGCTAGAGTTAGGGAAATGTGGTAAACTAGTCACATCTGGGCCAGCAGTAGGCTTGAGTTACAAGATATAGGTTCTTTTCGGTTACAGTAACAAAAGCAGCCATTCTTGAGATTTAGGTATCTCCTGTAAATAAAGCAGGTGCCTGACATAATCAGGTTTGCTTAAATGGATCACCTCTACGGAATCCAGGTGACATGCTACGTTAGAAACAGTGCTGGCCCTCACCATGAACTTCAGGCATGAGCCCTTTCTTTTTCAAGGCAGGGTCTCACTTTGTAGCACTGGGTCACTCTGTAGCCCAGGCTGCCCCTGCCTCGTGGGTGCTGGAATAAAAAGATGCAGCACTGCCCACTGGCCAGCAGTCCAGGCGAATCCTTAAGTGACACGCTTGCACTGCGTCTTCACTGTGGTTACAGCCTTGGCTGGATCACATTGTCTTCTTAATCTGAATGCCTGTCAGTCTTTACCAGCAGTAGCAGCCACTGCTTGGTAAAATTTTGCCACGAAATCTGGCTCACTGACTTCCAGCTGCCTGACAAACTCATTGCGCTCCTGCTCGGCCCAACCTCGAAACCACTGATCCCAAAGACGTAGCTGACACTCAAAGATACAAGGGGGTCGATTTGCCCCAGAGACACTGAGCTGCTCCAAACTATCCAGCAGTGGCTGTAGCTTTCCTGGCACTGCCTTGGCCACCAGGTCTTGTAGAAAACGTTCCCGCTGAGGACCTGACCAACTGGCAAACCAGTGAAGAATACACTTCATCTCCTGAGAAGTGATGTAAGACATTGGAGGAGGGGACGAGCTGGCAATGTCATCTGGCACTGAAGGTAACACAGAAGGCAAGGATGGCGGCACTGACGAGGAAGACGATTCCAGTGGCATCCTGAAAGAGACAAAGCTCTATTAACACACTCTTGGCAGAGAATAACCAAAACACAACCTAAGCAACAAACCCCACTGCACCCAATCAGCAGCCATGAACTCAACCCATAGGAAAACAACAGGACCCTTTCTTATGGTTGGATTTCACTATACATGTGTAGCCCCAGACTGGCCAGGGATTTGATCCCCTCATCTCAGCTTCTTGAATATTAGGGCTACAAATGCATTTAGCCACACAACATTTTACAAGGCCCTAGATTACCTTGGGAAATCACTCAAGAATAACCTCACTTGGTATTTGCTTATTTCCTTTTCAGTGCCACTGACTTAAGCCAGGTGTGGCGGCTGACACCTAGAATCTCACCATTTAGAAAACCGAGATGGATGACGGACTGTCAAGAATTAAAGGCCAGCGTGGACTAGTAACTTGAACATATTAAGTTCCAAGTCAGTCTAACCTACCAAGACAGGCCACATCTCAAAAACAACGGAAGAAAACAAACAACAACAACCACCCAACAAATGCCAGGCATGACTGCACATATGGCAGGCATGGTGGAGGCAGGAGGGTCACAAGTTCAAGAATCAGCCTCAGTGACACTGCGAGATGGGAGTTCCGGGAAAGTCAGAACTACTTGAGACTCTGGGTCAAGAAAACCTACCCAACCACTGTCCCTTCCTGTCTTTGTTCTAGCTCATCAACTTTCATTTGCATTTTCTCTGATGATAAATGTATTTACACGCTGGAAGTTTCTGTTGCAGCAGTTCTTCCGGGATGTTTTGCCTTCTTTGTGGCCCAATTCTGGCTTAGGAGCAGTTTCTTTGCTATGAGGATATTTCAATGTGGCAGGCAAGCTCACATATGTGCTAATCTGACTGTACTTTGAGTTATTTTGCTCTGGATATTGTCAATGGCCACAGAATCTATACTAAAACATCTATGTTCAGAACTTTCAAGCATGTGAAGCAAAACTCCAGCACTCTTCCGAGCCACCAATCATATGTCTACACCTACTGTTTGTTGTTGGCACCACGCACCAACTCTGTAACTCTGCCAAAAGAAAAAAAAAATCACTCACGATTTCTTTAAAGGGACACCTCTCCAATACGCAGTGGCTTTTAGGTACATATAGACCTGACGGCCTGGGCAATATCATAGGTGTCCTAAAGTAGACACAGACGCTGGAACCTCTTGGTTTGAATGATTTGGGGGCAAAGGTTTCTGGGTCAAGAGGAGAGTAATCGTTTTTACAGGTTACTTCAAGTCTTGGATAGAACCAGGGCTTCTGGGTGGCAAAACAAGTACTCTAACGAATGAACTATATCCTCAGCCACTCTTTATAAATTATCTTAAAAAAACAACCGGTTGAGGGGCTAGGAAGAAGACTCCTCCGCAGTTAAACTCACTTCCTGCTCTCCCAGAGTACATCAGGTGACTTGAAACCACCTGTAGCTTGTCTCCAGAGTACTGCCTACAGACTCTGTGGGACATGCACATGCCCACCCACGAGCACGCACACACACACAATCAACGATAACAAAAGCAAGTCGGGCGGTGGCGGCACACGCCCTTAACCCCAGCACTCGGGAGGCACACACAGGCAGATATCTGAGTTTGAGAGCAGACTGCTTCACAGATCTGAACTTTAGGACAACCAGGGCTACACAAAGAAACCCGGTCTTAGCCAAGTGCGGCAATGCACAACTATAATCCCAGCACTCAGGGAGGCAGAGGCAAACGAGTTCGAGACCAATCCTACAAAGCCAGTCCAGGACAGCCAAGGCTACACAAGAAACCCTGTCTCGAAAAAACAAAAACAAAACAGAACAAGCAAAAACAAAACAAAAAAAGAAACCCTATCTTGAAAAACCAAACCAAATCAAAACAAACCAAACAAATAATAATAAAAAAAAGCAACTGAGGCCTGCCTGAATACCACAGTTAAGAACTAATCAGAAAACTAAACAGAAAACACACTACTTGCTTGCTCCATCTCTTCTACTTCTGTTTCAGGTTGGGTTCATGTTTATCCTCTCGAAAACCAAAGTGTACAGTTTTTTTAAACTTTGGTACAAGCAACTGGTTCCAATCTAAAGGCTATGGATAATTATGTCTCTAAACGGTTTTCCTTAATGGTTTATACCTGTAAGTGCCACTGACTTTGCATCACGGATGCAAGTGTCAGCCAACTAATTCCAAATGTTTTAGTTCTACAGTTTGTACCTCTAACAAGGAAAACCTTCAACACTCTATGACTTACGTCACTATTGCTGTTCCTTCTGCTCTAAGCTGGAAGATTTGTGTCGACAAAGACAGGAATGCCTAAACATCAGTTCAACATCAACTGCCACCTTCAAAGTGGCCCCAGAGGGAGAAGTTCATCCTAAAACTTCTTTTTCAGGGAAAGGGATTTTTTTTCCCCCCCTTAGGGTCTTGTCACATTGCTTCCACGGTAAACTTAAATTCATTAATAAATTCACTGTCCGGGATAAAAACCACGAGGCTACTTTTTCCCACGTTTGGAAGCCGCAGGTCTCTTGTTTCTTAGCCCCACAAAACAAAGTATTCCTTAGACCGAGTTGCTGGGATGTAGAGAACGGGGGACCACAGAGGTTTCGCCACGGGAGCAGAGAACGGCTCCCCAAAAGGAAACCTGCAGCCAAATCTCATCTGGCCTAGAAGAAACTTCTTTTCCTCTTACCTCCCTTTTTTTTTCCCTCGGAGGGCGCCCACTGATCACAAGAGTCCTTCAGCTCCAACTCCCCTAGTCTCTTCCATATTTCCTGAAAACCCTAAGCAGAGCCAACCCAGTAACCCACGCACTTCCGGTCCGGAACCAGCCCCCCAAACACCCAAGTGCCCCAGCGCCTCAGCCCAAAGTCCGGAGATAGCCGACTACATCCGATTATGGGTAAGCCAGATTCGAGGGCTTCCGAATGAACTCGATCCAGAGCCTCGGCAAGACGAAAACAAACGAGCCCGAAAGCAAAATGGGAGGGGTCGCCAGCTGGGCAAATGGAAAGAGCCGATTGGTACCGATGTGAAGACGGAAACGACCGAACAGTTCCGGAGGAACCCGGGGAATTCTGAGCAGTAATAGAGGGGTAGACTATGGCAGTGGGCGGGGCCAATTCGGTACGTTCGAAGGGCGTTGGCGGAAATTACCGAAGATGCCCGAAGCCGTCGGGACGGACCCGAGTACCTCACGCAAGATGGCGGAGCTGGAGGAGGTGACTCTGGACGGGAAGCCTCTTCAGGCTCTGCGGGTGACCGACCTGAAGGCCGCACTTGAGCAGCGAGGCCTAGCCAAGAGCGGGCAGAAGAGTGCCCTGGTCAAGCGGCTCAAAGGGGTGAGAAGTCAGTGTTGCCGAGGTGTCGGAAGGGAGCGGACCCGGTAGAGACGAGTCTCCGCCGCGGCGCAGGCGCAGTGTCCGGGTTCGGCGCGAGCTCTCTCAGGCCGCCAGCGCGAGCCTGCAGATCCGCGCGCACGGTGGTTGGTGTGGCTTGCGCTGGAGTAAAAATAACGCCGGTTCCCGCCTTAACGGCAGCGGCGCGAGCCCAAAATGGGAGGGTGCGCGCTACTCTCCCGGAGTGTCTTAAGCTCCTTCCTCCTTCCCCCACCCCCTCCTTGTTTGTGTCTGTGTTTTCGGCGCATGCGCTGCAGAAGGAGTTAAATCCCTCTACAACCACCGGTGTGGCTGGCCTTAAGGGGGCGAGCAGGGCTTGGTCCGAGTTAGGGGTACAGTTGGGCGGATGGGGTTGGCGTCTCTGTCTGCAAAAAATACTTTTGGGATAGGATAAAAATGTCCGCCTGACTAGATTAAGACCTTAGATGAAGGGAAATCTTGGTAGGAGGACTTGGTGAGAGACGGGGGTCTAATTTATAGGGAATCGAGAAGAGGTCTGAATTAAGAATTTGGTGAATCTTGGTTCGAGAGGTGAGACAGATTCCTTTAAGACTGGGGATTTCGTATCGGTTTGAGTAGGTGAAAATGATCTTGCCGTGAGGTTATGCGTATTGTGTATTGGTTTGGTGTAAATGGAGGGAAGGTGAAATGAACTAGTTAGAGTTCATTAGGGTACGTGGCTGACAATACAGAAGGGGAGTAGGTTAGTTCGGGGTTTGAGTTGACAGACCGTTGCTTATCCCGAAGCTGACAGTTTGTGGGTGGGTGTGGATTAGGTCAGACCACAGGTTACAAGGTCTGTGGTCAGTTTCTCTTTGAAATTTTAATACATTTGTCTGGGTGTCACTGTGCTGGAAATTGTGCAAATTCACTTAAAGTAGTTTTAGTTCTGAAAAACTAACCCAAGTGATGGCAAATCCAAATAAGCAGCCTCATGCTGGTGTCGTGTCATTTAAAACTTGAAGTATTTGGAGCGTTTCTTGCCTGTATTACCAGATTTGGAAGTGGCTCTTAGTCAAAACTGCAGGCAAATACAGAGATTCTAGTTCTGATTCTGTCGCTTTTGCTGATTTTTATGACATAGCCAGGTCACTGATTCTTTGTGTGCCTGCACTTTCCATCTGTATATTAGGGAGCAGTAACCATGGCTACCTTTAAGGGTCTTAGGAAGATGAATGAGAACAGTATTAGTCAAGAGCTTTTAGGCTTTGTGAAAGGAATATAGTATAAATGTATAGTTAAGTCATTTAATGAAAGGGCTGTGTGGAGAGGTAGAGATCTGGGTGGCTTTTTTGTTTGTTTCCCTGCCTGGCTTCTGATTTTTGCTCTTCCTTATACCAGGCTCTAATGCTAGAAAATTTACAGAAACACTCAACACCCCATGCTGCATTCCAGCCAAATTCACAGGTAAGAAAAAAGGTTGGTAGATAGAATGGGCTGTTGGGAGAAAAATGACAAATGGAAAAACGTAGTGTCATGTCTTCCATGTTTATCAAAAACAGTATTTTCTTAAATTATTTTTAACAAGATGTTCTCAAATAGTTGCTGTCTTTTTTATTTTAAGGCTTATTTTTATGTGTATGGGTGATTTTTCAAGAGTTTCTGCTGATTTATTTATTTATTTATTTATTTGAGGCCAGGCTGGCCTTGAACTCACAGAGATCCACCTGCCTCTGCCTCCCTGAATGCTAGGATTACGGGCATGCACCACCAAGTCTGGCTGTCTGCAGTTTTAATTTGGTGGGATTGAGACAGGGTCTCTCCATATAGCCATGATAGCTTAGAACTTACATTGTAAGCTGTACTGTCTTCAGACTCAGCAGTCCTTCCTCCCATCTTCTCTAGTGCTGGTATAACAGGCTTGTGCTCCAAACCCCCACATTTCTACATATGTTTTTATTTTGAAGACATTATTCTATAGTTAAAACAAAAATAAGCCTGTTGCAGTGGCCCATACCTATATCCCAGCACTCTGGGAGACACAGGCAGGTGGCTCTTTGTGAGTTTGAGGCTAGCCTGGTCTACAAATGAGTCCAGGACAGCCAAAGGCTACACAAAGACACACTGTCTCAAAAATAAATAAAATAAATAAAATAAAAGAATATGTATGTGTGTATAAATTTCTAGACCATATCATTTCTTAGGGTGCTTTGCAGCTTTTAAATCCCTTTATTTGCTGAGCAATGGTGGTGTACCTCTTTTGTCCCAGCACTTGAGAAGCAGAAGAAGGTGAATCTCTGAGTTCAAGGACAGCCTGGTCTACGGAGTGAGTGCCAGGATAGCCAAGGCTACACAGACAAACCGTGTCTCCAAAAAAAAAAAAAAAAAAAAAAAAAGACAAAAAGACCCTTCGTGTAATGTGTTACACACTTAAAGGAAAATGCATTGTTGTATGGGCCCAGGACTAGATGAGGTCCCAGAATACTGTAGAAAATGAGCTTTCCTCTTCCCTTGTTAATACCTCAGTAAGCTGTAAGTCCCATAATCTAGTCAGCTAGCTGAAGTTAATATTCATCTTCCTAGGGGGCTGGAGAGATAGCTAGGTAGTTAAGAATGCCAGTTGCTTAGTATTTCAAACTGGAGCTCAGACCCCAGCACCTACATTGGGGGACTCACAAACATCTCCAGTTCCAAGGGATCCAACACCCTATTCTGACTTTCAAGGACATGACTGAGCACACAAACACATGTATACACCCACAGATACATGTATACACACACCCCTAGATGAAGCTGAAAAAGTGGCTCAGTAGTTAGGAGTACTTGTTTTGCTTTATAGAGGACCCAAGTTCCATTCTCAGCACCAAGATGGTGGCTCGCAGACATCCATAATTCCACTTCCAGGGCATCCCAAGTCCTCTTCTGGCTTTGGACACAAGCACACATGTGGTACACATCTGTGCAGTAAAACACTCATGCATGTAAAATAATAAAAGTAAATAAATCTTTTAAAAATTTATAACAAGAAACTACTTAAAATATAGTCAATTCACAGTTGTGTTTTGGATCATTGGATTCTAGACTTTGAAGCCTTACTTGTATTTAAAGGGTTTTGTAGTAAATGTACTTGTTTTCTCATACTTAGAAAGCACACTTCCTCAGTGTCCATTGAGTACTGAGAGACCTTTTATAGTAAGTGAAAATTATTTACTATTAGAAAATGACAGAAAACATGGAACATAGTGGATTGAGTTGCTCTTTGGGGAGTCTGTAGACATGTAAGGACTCAAGGAGGGCTTCTGAAAACTGGAAGACAGTTATGGCATGTTATGGAATGGGAAAAAGGATTAAGCCTGGGCTTGCTTGCTTTTTTAAAAAAAATTTTTTTTATATTATTTCTAAAACAGGTATTTCTACATAGCCCTGGCTGCCCTGGAATTCCTGCCTCTGCCACCCTAGTGCTGGGATTAAAGGCATGGGCTACAACTCCTGGCGTGCCAAAGGTTTCTTTTTACTCAAAGAAAGCAAAGTGGATGGTTGCTTGGTAGGTTTGGAGTTTTTGAGGCAGGGACTTACTCTGTAGCCCAGGCTGTTCTCTAGCCTCAGCGTCTCTGGTGTTGTGATTGCAGGCATGAGCCATATACACTCCCCATTTTGTGGGTCATTTTATTTTTTAATGGAAGTGGAGTTACGAATCTCTCAAGTATTGAATGTATATTCTTTTCCTTGGTCTCTTGATGTCATCTGTTTAATACTGTATGTTTTCTATTTATGTTTATTTTGTGCCTGTGAGTGTTAGTACCTGCATTTGTGTTTGTGCACCATGTTCATGCCTTTGCCCTCAGCAAGCACTGGATACCTGGAACTGCAGTTAACAGGTGGTTATGAGCCACCATGTACTAGGACTCAAACCCAGGCTCTGTAAGACCAGCCAGTGCTCTTATCCACCGAGCCATCTCTCTAGACCTGTATTTGACTTTTGAGATACATGACAAAACGTTCTCCTGGGTTGGTAGAGTTTGATCTTTTAGAGAAACTAGTACTTGTTTCTTCTCAGATTTACGTATTTTATTTTTGTTTATTTATATATGTTTATTTGTTTTTTAAGACAGAGTTTCTCTGGCTGTCCTGGACTCACTTTGTAAACCAGTCTGTCCTTGAACTCAAAGAGATCCGCCTGCCTCTGCCTCCCCCAGTGCTGAGATTACAGGTGTGGGTCACCAAGCCTGACCCTTTATTTTTTTTTAAAGTTATTTATTATGTATACCGTATTCTGTCTGCATGTACACCTGCACCCCAGAAGAGGGCACCAGATCTCATTATAGATGGTTGTGAGCCACCATGTGGTTGCTGGGAATTGAACTCAGGACCTCTGGAAGAACAGACAGTGCTCTTAACTGCTGAGCCACCTCTCCGGCCCTCTTACTTTATTTTTAAAATTTTGTTTTGAGATTTAATTTGTTTGTACGAGTGTTTTCCCTACATGTATGCATGTGCACTATGTCCATGCGTGG